GTGTAGGTCCTCCCCCTCTGGGCTTCATTGCAGGGGTACGTGGGTCACCCTGCCCCCCAGGGCCAGGCAGGGAAGTTCAGAGACCCTGCCATCAGCAGCAAGGGAGTGATGGGGAAGTGGAGCCCAGGGGTTGCTAGTTAACCCATCATAGTTACCATCTGGGCAGTCCTAGTTTACATTCTGGGGCTGCTGTTGCTATAGCTACTATGGCAGAACCTTCTAACCAACCTACACCAGTAGAAGGATTTTCTCTGCTGCCAGGGTTATGCCACCAGCTTCCTTAACAGTGTTTTTGCCAAGAGAAACAGGGTTTTGCTAGGAGAGCTGTGTCAATAAAGAGGCCTTCTGGCTTAGCTTTGGCTACCAGCTGAGACAATATAGCTTGGTCAGCGCAACTTATGTAACATTTATTTAAACTTGATTCCTGGGCATTCAGTTTGTGTCTATAAATTACTGTATCCTTTTTAGTTAGGGCTGTGAATAACATAAAACAGCAGGTGATGATTCCAATTAGCAGTGTGACTATCTCACTTTTAAATATCTAGATTAAGTGAGCAAATAATTTCATTTTTCTTGTTGTGTAGTTGTGTTATGCTACATCTAAAAGTCAAAGGAAGGTAGTTTTATATCACCTTCATAATTGTCATCATCTTAAATTGATACTCACAAATGATTGACTTTTATTAACCTGTGCAGAGGGATTAAAGGTTCACTTAAGCTTTTCATAGTTCTTATTCACACAAATGATTTCAGCATATAAAAGTACATGTGCATTCTTGTATGGTAGTGCCTTATGTTAGTAACTTAGTCCTACAAGCTTATGACTGTTGGGACTGCACATGTGTGTGCATGTGAAATAAAGACAAGGTAAACTGTAAGCGTAAAAGATAAAAAAAAAAAAATATTTGTGGGCTCTTTCTGTGTGTCTGTTACTTTCATTAAGATAGCCATATTTTAGTTTCATAAAATTTAAAAATGTGTAATGGTTTTTCTGGTTTTCTTGTTTTCTGAAAACTAGGATGTAACCATAACTAATGATGGTGCAACTATTCTGAAGTTGCTGGAGGTGGAACATCCTGCTGCAAAAGTCCTGTGTGAGCTGGCAGATCTGCAAGATAAAGAAGTTGGGGATGGGACCACCTCTGTGGTATGTAGAAGCTTCATCTGCAGATAGCATTGCCTGATTAAATGGCTGACTTTTAGAATGCCTGTGGTTTGCATACCTATTATAAATCCTGTTGCAGTGGGGGTTGAGCCTATGCTATTTGACAGTGTGGAATGGAGCTAAAATCTGTGTTTTTCCACAATACAAACCATCAGCAATATGCAGAAC